GAGAGAGAGAGCATGCGCTTCATTAAGGAGCACCCTTTTTCGATCATTTCGAAAAGAAGGGAAAAAGCTGTAATGATTATCACACAAAGAAGCACTCCCAGGCCGCGCAGCCAAGCGCGCTGCAAATGAGAGGTTATTGATAGCTGCCGAGCGCCTCTAGTGCGCACACTAGCGTGAGCACTAGCGTCACCCAGGGAAGGCCGAGCAGGCGCGTCATTCCATCTCACGGTATGACAGCTGCCGAATGTTTGGCAGCGAGACGACGCACGGGCCATGCGCCGTGCCACGCTCAAGGAACTAAATCTGGCTCGCTGCAATCGCTTTTTTGCTCTCGAACCGGCGGGAGAAGAGAATCAGGACCGTGATGGCGTGATCGTGATGGCTTACTCTCCGAGTCGGTGTCGGAGCTGGCGCTGGAGGGCGCGCGCGAGCCGCAGGAGTCCCCGCTCGAGGCAGCGCTGCCGGTGTAGACGCTCGTGGCCAGCTCTGGAACCAGACACACCAACCATCAGTTAGGAACCAATAAGCGCCATGTGTGTTCATGATTCAATTTTTTTTGCTAACTTTATAACGTGTTCCAATCAAATTTTCTTAGCATATTTTTGTGGGATGGGGGCGAGGTAGGTGTACTTCGCCATAAATTCGAGATTTGATTTTTCCGAAACCTTTTAAATGATGCACACTGATTTTTATAAGTAAGGTACCCCTCTGCAATGGACAAAAATTATGCCCTCACTGGTAAAACAAGGGTTTAATTTTGCACGTCAATTGACGTTTAAGTTCAAGTGTGCATTTTCTAGACACTTTGTGCTGTCTAACTATGTTATACGTCAATTAGTGTTTAAACTTTCGACACTTCCGAAACGTAGAGCAGCTGCACACCGTATAGTTCCCCATTCACAGCCTAGAACTGTGTGTGTCCAAGTGTGCAGAATTTAAAGTTTACAAAACGTCTAAAATTTGCACACCACGCAAGTGTACAACTTGAGTTAAACACCATCTAATGTGAAAAATCACAACTTGCACACGTTTGGTGTGCAAATATTGCACACTTGTTTTACCAGTGCTTTGCCATTTTAGCCACCGCTGCTCCTCACCGCTGCTGCTGCTGTACATGGAGGACTCGGTGGCCGGGCCGGTGGGGTGGCCGGCGGGATGGCCGACGGGGTGGCCGGGGGCGGGGGCGGGGATGGTGGCCACGGCGGCGGCGGCGGCCTTGTCCGGCACCGTCACGTCGAGGCGCACGCCGAAGTCGCCCTTGCCGCGCATGCCCACGAGCCGCGGCGCGCCCAGGCCGAACGAGTAGTTGTCGTAGCCCGAGTGGCGCAGCGCCGTGCGCTTGCGGTGCTCCAGCAGGTAGTCGTACGCCGTGCCCGCCCCGATCAGCACCGCCACGATGAACGAAGCCCCACTGCAACAGAACCGCCACAGGACGAATGTTTAAAGAGTTTTTAAAAGAATTTTTCAGAATTAAAGTTTTCAATCACTTCTACACTGGAAAAAGAAATGTGCTGAGTCGTGCCTTTCCTGGGGCACTAACTAAATTCTTCCAGTGTAATCTTTACAAAAGAAACACAAAAAACAACAACAAAAAACAACAAAAAACAACAACAACAACAACAACAACCGAAATGTAATTACTCTGTCAGCCAAACACCGCTTGGTGTGGAACGATTAATCGCTTAACTGAATACAGGGCGGGGGTGCTCTGGACTTTCCTCTGGTTACACCGCACCGCATTACATGCGTGCGGACAGGTTGCATACTCACACGGGGCCATCTTAAGGCACCGGTAGGTAAGCCCACCCGCAGACGCCCGCGTGGGTTACAGTGTATAACTAGAAGATATAGTCCGGCTGAGAAAGTCGGAAAAAAAGGAAATGATTGGGGTGAAGTATGGAGACCCTTAGATGTAACGATGTGTAAGGTGTGTAGTGCGGTGGCAGCCAGTAGGACGCCCCAGCGTCGAGCTTCGGTGCTGCATTACAAAGGGGCATAAGTCACGCAGCCAGTTTGTCAGTTATGGCGCGTTGCCCCCCCCCCCCCTCCTCGGGGCCCGTCCACCTTGGCCCCTGCTCAATAATGATACGCGAACCATCTGCATCGGAATGAATTGTCACTTTCACTGCTGACCCAGGGCGGCGGCCCTCCCTTCCCCTCGAGACAACGCGTCACAGCGCCACAGCCAGAGTGAGGGCCGCGAGGCTCACCCGCTGGGGCTCGAGCGGGATCGAGGGACAACCTAAGCCCATTGGCGTCCTTTTAGAGTTTTGAAAATGTGGCGCATGCACTTCGCATTATATAGCCCGAGAAAGGGCACTAAAGTCAAATCAATTGAGTTATTTTCTTTTCCTGAATCCATTTTGGAATGTTCACCTAGCACGGCTTTCATGCTGCTTTTCACCTGATCGCAGTGCCCAGGGTGATTTCTCAACCAGAGCCTTCAGAGCGAAAAGGAAATCCGTTAAGAACGCAATCCGGCCGTACACTCTAAATGTCTAAGGACAATTTTTGTAACTAGCACCGGACTTCTGTGTGCATAACTAGCTCAGATACAATATTGTAACTACCAACACACATTTAGTGACTAGCAAGTCACAATATTGTATCTGATTTCAGTTATGCACGCAGAAGTCCGGTGCTAGTTACAAAAATTGTCCTTGACATTTAGAGTGTATAGCCCAAGGACGATGGTCTGACCCATGGACGTTTGCCTCACAGAACACAAAAAATGTATATTATAGAATTGAACTTACACAAGGACCCAGAAGGTAGAGTCTTCCCAGAAGAGGTACTCGGTGGAGGGTGTGCGCACAGAGGTGACCTTGAAGGACCTGGCCTTGGCGGCCCGGGGGTCCACGGCGTTGGCGGTCTCCACGGACAGGTCGATGAGGCGGGATATATCCCGGGCGCCGCAACTCGCCGGCAGGCACAGCCCCATGTTCACCGTCCGCATCTGGAAACACGAGTAAAAGTCAAAACAAGAGCAGCTTCTCTTTAAATTTTCCAGCGATTTTTGTTGTTTTTCACCCAAAATATACAATCTTTCAGAACTTTGAGGAGAAAAGGAGGGAGGGGGCGTTTGTGGAGGTGTTGGAGGTTGTTGGGGCGGACA